AGGGGATGGAAGGGGAGAAAATTTCCATTTGCGTTATCCCCCTCTTTGCTTCAGGGACTCCCCGCTGCCAGCCCTTGGTTGCATCTTGTAATATGGCTCGTGGCAGTAGTACTGGATACAGTCCTTGTAGGGTACCACCCCCATTGTGGGTGGTGTAATGGAAGGCAGATTTCCGGGGCTGCCCACAGTCCTTGACTTGGAGAGAACACAGGGCAGGGGTGAAGCTGAGGAAAGACTGTGCTGGAACTTTAGTGGGTGGAGGAGTTCGTGAGTTTATCTACCTGCAGAGCACGTTGAGAGGGCTTAGAAAAATAGTCAGTTGGCGAGGCCCGTTACAACGGACAGGAGTGGGTGGTGTGAAATTCAGTTCTGGGTAGGAGCCCATCCATCCCATGAGATGAGGACTCACTGATTCTGAGAATGAGGGCTCACTGATTCCTGAGATGGGCCATAGGCATCACAAAGACAAGTCTCTTTGACCTCATCCAAGGGTGAGAGGTCTGTTGGAAAGAGGCTTAGTCTGGACCCCCTCCTTCTTTCTTGGCCCAGGTCCTCAAGGTTGGAGGTGGGAAGTCCCAGGATCATTATCCCTGAATTGTGACTTACTGTTGCATCGGCATGGCACGATGCCATGTGCCGTCATCCTGGCAGACAGCTGTGAAGGGTGCAGCACCTGGTTCCCCTGTTGAGCAGAGGAACAGGCGCCATCCATGTGCCAAGAGGCAATGCAGGTCCCTTTCTTGCCCTTCCCACACAGGAGTGGGAAGGCCAATTACAAAGACATCTCTCAGCTCCCCCATGGATGGTGGCTCCTTCTTCCTTTCCCCAGCCTGTTACAGACAGGAGAACTGAGCTACACTGCAGCAAGTCAGAGCGGGACTAATTGAAGACCGATCATCCTCTCTCTAGACTGTGGCCTGTTCCCACTGAGGTCCAATTGAATCCACAATTTGTAATTAAAAAAATCACAAGCCAGTTTGAGTGTTTTTTGTATCAAACAAAAGCCTTGTCCAGGGGCAGAACCATGTTTCTCTGGCGGAGTCCCTGCCTCCAGGCCTGCAGCACTTTCTCTCTTCCTGGGTTGCAGTTTTCCTAAGGACAGAGGCCTTCCTGAAATCCAGACCACCTCACCCGTTGAAAGGTGCTGGAGACGTTGATGTATGTGAAGTGCTGTGCTGGAGCAGGGACAAGACTAGGAAATGGGCAGTCTTTGAAATGAAAGTTAGCTGGACAATATGAATGAGTTTTACTAAGACCAAAATTGGCCAAGTGTGGTGGCTTACGCCTGTAATCCAGCACTCTAGGGGGCCGAGGCAGGTGGATCACTTTATGCCAGAGTTTGAGTCAGTCTGGAAAATGAGAAACTATCTCTACCAAAATACAAAAATTAGCCGGGCACGGTGGCACTGCCCGTAATTCCAGCAACTCCGGTGGCTGAGGTACCTGAGTAGCTTGAATCCAGGAGCATCGCTTGAACCTGGGAGGCGGAGTTCACAGTGGAGCGGAGATCATGCCACTGCCTGGGTGACAGAGCAGACTCTGTCTCAAAACAAAATAAACCCAAAAAGACCAAAAATCATCCCATAGAGTTTAGCCCTGGGTTGCAAAAGAATGTGTGTGAAGAACTAGGACCATCTGAGTAAAATGTAGGTAATGTGAGAAACGGTGTGACTTGCTTTAAATTCTATGTTGTGAATGACATGTGCAAAAGTAAGGGCAGTGGGTGGTACAGGCAAGGGAGGGTTGTAATATGAGCAAAGAGGTTGTTAGTCTCCAGTCCTCTGGACCCAGGACACCCACCCAATTCTCCTGATGGAGATGGAAGCACTTTGGAGTAAAGAACAATGCATCAGATGAACTCGACTTGATACAACATTCAAATGTGAGCTCCACAAAGGCTGTGTGACTTTGTGGGTTTCTTTTTACTGAACCTCCCACATCTAGGACAGTGCCTGACAGTAGACCCTTAAAATGTGCATTATGAATTAACTATGACTTAAGGACATGTCATAGGTCTCTTCTTTGATTCTCATTAAGTCTTCCGTGTGGACCTATTGAGCAATGATGGGATGTTCAGTCTTGGGTCTCTGTCCAGAGAGACAGATAATTTTTAGTTTACCAGCTTTTGTGAGATTGATCCATGGATAAAACCTTATTCCTTGCTGAATCTGCAGAGCTGAGGACAGGACGGTGGGCCCAGGGTGAGACCACCCACATGTGTAAAAGAGCCCTGGAGCAGGAGGCAGGAGATTGGGGTCCTAGTCCCTGCCGTAGAAAATCACTATGTGATGTTGATGAGTCACGACATCTCCACCCTGCCTTTCCAGTTCCTTCAGCTTTCTTGATTATTGGACGAGCGCAATAGTTCTTAAACTTGGCTGCACGTTAGAATCACCTGGGTAGCTTTAAATAGTCTTGTTGCTCAGGCTCTACTCCAGATCAATGGAATGAGAGTCTCTGCTGGGGGCCCTTGACTTCAGTATTTATTGATTGATTGATTTTTATTTTTTAGAGACAGAGTCTGGCTATATTGCTCAAGCTGGAGTGCAGTGGCTATTCACAGGGGCCTTGAATGATTGGGCTCAAGCAATCTTCCAGGATCGTAAACTCTCTGTTTTAAGTGTGCAGCAAGTTTGAGAGCTGGTGGACCAGGAGACTCTTCCAGCTGAAATGCCTATGACTCTAGCTGGGGTGAGACTAAATCCTCTGTGAACCCACCATCTGAATTCCCCCTGGGATGCTGGGCTGGCTCTCTCCCCTCAGCCCTGGGCTCTTACCTCTATGAGCTGGTAGCCTAGCTTGCAGGTAGCAATGAAGTAGTCACGGAATTGGTACTGAGGCTGCAGGTTCTGGATGACGGTGAACTCGTCTAGGGTCTTGGGCTGGGGACACTTGATGACTATTGGGGAGACCAGAGGGCGTATTTATTTGAGAGCCACCTGCCCTTCCTTCTTCCCACTTTTTCTCCATTGCTGGCCATTGAGGGAGACCCCCAGGGAGCCTTACTCTCGGTGGTGTAGCGCAGCCTCCAGCCCCGGCTGTCCCCCGACTCATCTGTGAAGAACAGCAGATCCACAGCATTGCTGCTGGTGTCAAGGTTGGGGGGCCTTTGCTTCCCACAGAACTCGCCAATGTTCTTCCCGTTGGCATAGATCTGGTAGGGGAGGAGGATTTTGTTTTTGTTTTTGTTTTTTTCCAGCTTGGACATTTTTACACAGGGCCAACTGCGTAGTAGCCTGGTGGCCAGGGTGGTGGTGGTGATGAAATCCTGCCTTATGCGTGTTTTCAGGGGAAGGTGGAAAGGGATCCCCACGACCCAATTCCAGTTGTATGGGAACTTGCCCAGCCCATGGGTGATGTTGGCCATTCCTGCCCCAGCAGGCCAGGGGATCCAGGAGGAAGTTGGGACAAGAGGAGCCAAGTGCAGACGGAAGGGGAGGAAGGGGTCTTTCAGGGGTAGGACGGCTGTACCTGTAGCTGGTCATAGGGGCAGTGTACTTGCTGGTGGTCATCAATTTCAAAAGGCTCTAGGAACTTGAGGTGCAGGGTGAGGCCCCGCTCCACCCGGATGCTGTAGTTGCAGCGCAGGTCAGGGGGGTAGGACCGGGGGTACTCCAGGCTGGAGATGTAGCCCGATGCCTCCGTGTACAGCTCACTGCTGCACTCAGCTGTGAGAACAGAGCCGCAGGGCATCACGGGGGCGCTCTGGCTGGCCCAGCAAGCCCTGGCTGAACTCCCGCCTCCCTGCTCCACCACTCTGGCTCACCCTGGCAGGAATGCCTGTCCTCCTGAAGCTCATAGCCTGGACGGCAGGAACAGAAGTAGCCTCCAACGTAGTTGTGACACAGGTGCTGGCACTGGGGCTGGAGGTCCTTCTCCCCTGATTCGCTCTGGGAAGCACATTCATCAAGGTCTGGAAGGCATTCAGGAAGGAGGGTTAAGCTCCTGCTGGGAGACCTGAGCAGTGGCTCTGACTTTAGGGAGGTCACTCACCAGAGGCCTAAAGACAAAGGCATCTTTAGGCCACCTGGACCTCCAGGCCTCTCCAAAGCTCTCTGGGGACTGCTCCATGGGGACAGAGCCCAGGTTGACAGGCCTCGTTAGGGAAAGTTCTCTTGAGGGGAGGAACAAGGAAAGCCAGGCTTTTGGCTTCTTTGGATTCAAGATTCCCTTTCTTGGCCCCCATTCAATGTGGCTGAGGTTAGAGAAAAGGGATCCCTGGGGGGCTACTCACCCACAGCTTGGTAGTAGGCCAGGAAGCCCTTGTAGAACATGATGGCCCCATTCTCCTCGTTGGAGAAGTCCGTGTGGAAAGTCAGCAGCATCTTGTTCCCTTGGGACATAAATTCCTTCTTTCCTGGGGGGTTGCCCAGTGGAGAACCCAGTTGCCCACAGAACCTCCCCAGGTTTTTCTTATCAGCAGAGATCTGGTGGAAGAAGGATAGGGGGTAGGAAGAAGACTTGTTGTGGAGTGGCACACGTGGTGGCTCAGTGACGGTCCTCCTTGTCTCGCCCAGAGTGAATCATGCACCACATTGGCTCCGCTGGTCACTACCTGCTGGGCTCGGCTGCTGCAAACTTCCCCATGTGACTTTCAACTGTTCCCCGAGTCTCCCACTGACTCACTCTTACATGTTGTCCTGCACTGGGTACCTCACCTTTCCCTGTTTTCTGCTCCACTGACAGGTTTCAGGTCATTCTCCAACCCCACCACCTCCTATGGCCTGTTCCCCTGGGGTCCTGGTTGTCTGTACTCAGCCTTTACCCGCCCCTCATTCCCAGAGCTTGGACAGCTCTGCTTTATTTTTGTCTTCAGATTTCACCTCAGCCTAATCAAACCATTCACACCTGGAGTGCCTCCTGACGCCCTCGGGTGAACATGAGCCCTGAATCCCACCAGTCTCAGCCTCAGCAGGCACTGCCTCATCCCTCATCCTTCCTACTCACAGCTCTTCAACCTCTCCTTGCCCCTGCCACCAAACGCCCTCCCCCAACACTGCACACTCGCGAAGTCTTCTGGGTGGGGAAGAAGTGCCATTTGCATGTAATTCACGCATAACCTCCGGGGGTCTCCTGGGAATGGTAGTTATTGGACCTTCGCAGGCTCTGCTTGAGCCCTGAATCTCATTTTTACTGGATAGAGAAAGATGGGCCAGGGAAGGTTGTCACAGAGGTGAGGGTTCTGAGCCTACTGTCCTTGCTGAAGACTATTCCCGTGCTGCCAGAGCACACATTTCTCCTCCTCCTGTCCCTGTGTTCCTGTTGAGGCAGGCAGCCATGCCAGTCTTCTCCTTGGAGACAGGGAAGCTGAGGCACAGTGGTTTCCCAAAGGCTCTCAGCTAGACAGCAGATGGGGAAGGTTTTCCTGACTCAGTGGACAGTGAATTTCCCGAGTGGGTCCTGTCCCCTACCTTCTCTGTGCTTCTCCCCTCAGTGCTCACTGAGGGTCTCTACACCAGTGAGTGCCCCATCCAGGGCAACCCTTGGCTCTAAGAGATGCAGTCGGCCATCAGCTCTTGTGGGGCTGGGCTGTGTCTGGGGGTGTGCATGCCATACAGATCCCAGATCCCAGAGGGTCCCGTTTTGTCTCCCCTCTGCCGCCCATCCTGCCCCTACCTTGACATAATCATAGAAGCAGCCTTCAGAAGGCTCCAGGTCAAAGTGCTGGAAGACGAGCTTCACCCTGTATCCTGTGGGGACTGTGATCACAGTGGTTGTTTCAAAGCTGTTGGGGTAAGGCTTGGGGAACAGAGGGGAAGTCACCTCCCCAAATAACTTCTGAGGGATGGGAATGGAGCCTTCTGCCCTGCAGAACAGGGCCGGCACCAGGAGGTACAAGAGCCACCTGCCAAAACAAAAGAGAGTGTCTGGAGTTGGAGGGGTTCAGCACTCTTGCCATGTGGGCAGTGGCCGTGGCAGGGGATGAGATGGCCATACCGTTGGGCATCCTCCTCTCTGCCCACTCTGGACCTCACCGACATGTTCTCAGCAGGGGTGCCTGGGTGGGGAGGGCGGCCTTTGCAGCTGCTGCATTGGGTCACTCCCCAGGGCAGTGTCCAGTCCAGAGGCCACCACACTCCCCTCACACTCCCTTTCCAGCCTCCTCCCCTGCCCGGCCCCATCCCTCCCCTCCCCTTCCAGGAATAGGACTGGCTTGGGACCAGTTAATGGAGGGTGAGGGTTTCCACCCGTGGGTCTCTGAAAGGGCTCCCACAGGTTCAGTAAGAGCATCTGGGAGAGACCATCTGTGGCGTGTGGGACACAGGCAGAGTGTCCCCTCCTGGGCAGGGGGTCCCCTCCTCTTGCTGCTTCCTGCCATGAGCCCAAGGGAAGAAAGGACCATGGCATGGGCTTCTATGTATAAGGTTTCCTCTGGTCCTTAGGAGGAGGGACGGGGCGTGTGTTGTGTGTGTCCATGTGTGTGCACAGTGGGATTGATGAGAGAAGAGTGTGTGAAGAGAGAAGGGTGTTCCTGTCTCCCTGAATTGCCTCCTATGTCCTGGCTTCTCCCCTGGCTTCCCCCTCCCTCCTGGGTGCCCATCACCCTTACTCACATTTCTCAAGGCCCGTGTTAAATCCTGGGCTCTCCTGACAGCGTCTTCGTGCACTGTGTGCAGAGGGAGGCCGCGTCACGCACAGCAGGGAGGGGAGGGTTTTCTGTGGAGTGGAGGGGGGACCATTCCCGGAGGAATGTTGGAGGGAATGAACTATTTGCATAAACAAAAGATCTGAGTTTCCACTTTAATTTAGTTTTGGTTTTGAAATCTCTGTCGGTGGTGCCACCTGCTGGTCTATGAGGGAAAGGGCTAAGGAGACGGGAGTCTGACTTTTTAGGGCCAGGGGAGCCTTTGGTTGGAGGCCCAGATGCCTCAGTCTCTGAATCTGATCAGCTTCTCCTTCCTTCCAAGACTTTCCTGGGGGGCTGCTGCTGTGTTTACAAGGTTCCTACCAAAGCAGTGGGAGACCACAGGTTGTGATTTCTCTTTTCTGGGCTGTCCTTTCCCATGACCCCGTTCTTCTTGCCGTCATTCAGCCCACAGCCCTGGTTCAAGAATGGCCCGGGTTTCCATGCCCAGGATGTAATGATAGGAACACTGGGGCAGAGGAGGGCACGTGGGAGTGGGCAGAAGAGAGAGGAGCTTGGTTGCCTTGGGGCCCTGGCCTGCTTTAGCCGTGAATGACACGTGGACATAGAATAGGGATGGCCATGTCAGGGCAGCCCTAAATCAGCCTTGGGTTTGAGACCCTCTGGGGCGGCTGCGGAGGGGGTAAAACGTCCCCATCTCCTCAGTGTCTGCTCAACACAAGTGCCAGGGCTGAGGCCGAGGGTGCGGGTGTGGAGCAAGAGGCGCCTGGTTTTTCTGAGATGGAGCCAGGCCCCTGGGAGGGAGGAGGGACCCTAGACTCTCTTGTCCGTGAGGCCATAGTGTCCTGCTTTAAAAATTTTGCTCTTGGCCGCGTGTGGTGGCTCATGCCTGTGATCCTGGCACTTTGTGAGGCCAGGGTGGGAAGATCTCTTGAGCCCAGGAGTTCGAGACCAGCCTGGGCAACATAGTGAGACCTTATCTCTAAAAGTTAAAACAATTAAAAAACAATTTCACTGTTTTTGGAAGGCTTTCTTCATCAACTCTCCGTGGCACCAAATATCTGACGGCACTTTACCCCATAGAGGGGCTTGGGCTGCAGAGCAGGCCTCTGTGTTCTTAAGCCTTTGTAGGCTGTTCTGCTTGTTTCCCTTATTAGATTAATCCCTCCAACCTCCACCCTTCTGCCCCCACCCCCGTTCATCCATTTTTGGGCTACCTGTTTAATGGCAAGGCACTTTCCCAGGCAATAGATTGCAAGAATTCACAGAGCTGATGCAGTTCCCCATCAGGCAGTGACCAAGTCATCAGTAGTTAGACAGCAGGCACACAGAAGGTGCAAGATCCACCAATGCTTGGAGGGTTTCTCCAGCAGGCCTGTGTGTCAGAGCTGAGGACTGAACCTAATGGAGGGCTGGTCTGTGCTGGGATCAGGATATGAACCACAGCCTTGTTAGGTCAGGAAAGACAAAAGATAGGGGAGAAGGAAAAGGACTAGATCAGAGGACGAGAAGGAAGGGGAATCTCGTGTAACAAACTGCACATTAATATCCTGGCAGCAGCAGTGGTGTGTGTGTGTGTGTGTGTGTGTGTGTCTGTGTGTGTATGCACTGTATGTTCATAATGGAGGCAGAGGGAATGGGTAAGAAGGTAAGTGTTAGCTGAAGCTCTTCCATCCATCCTAGGGAGACTCGGTTCTGCCTTGGCATTGTGCAACATGCTTGGAGAGTGGCGTGAGCCACCGCGCCCAGCCATGCATTTTATCTCAATACAAATTTTTCAAATGGTTGATTTTTCTGGCATATGTGGCATCTAGGTAGGGAGATATTTTAGGAATAGAGAGCCTGTCTGTATATCCTTAAAACATATGGCACAAAAAGAGAGTTTCCTCTTACTTCAGCTTGTCGGTCTCTCTTCCTCCTTTTCTTTTCCTTTCTTTCCTTTTTTTTTTTGAGATGGAGTCTTGCTCAGCCACCCAGGCTGGGTGCAGTGGCGCCATCCTGGCTACTGCAACCTCCGTCTACTAGGTTCAATGGATTCTCCCCTCTCAGCCTCCTGAGTAGCTGAGATTATAGGTACCTGCCATCAAGCCTGGCTAATTTTTGTGTTTTAGTAGAGATGGGGTTTCACCATGTTGGCCAGGGTGGTCTTGAACTCCTGACCTCAGGTGATCTGCCTGCCTCAGCCTCCCAAAGTGCTGGGATTACAGGCGTGAGCCACCGCTTCCAGCCTTTTCCTCCTTTTCTAGTCCATCTCATTAACTTCCTTCATGCTTTTCCTCAGATATGTCTTGACCCCTGAAGAATGAGGAACAAGCTCCCTTCCTCTTCTTTTCTGGGCCTTCTTGATTGCCGTGTTCTTCCCCACCTTCTGCTTCTTATCTTCCTTTCTATTCTAAGGCTTTCCTTTAACCCCTGTGTCCCGTCGGTCTCAGTCGCAGCTGAGGCTTGTTGGGGGAATGGTGCTGGCAGGTGGCTACTCACCAGACATACACTGAAGAACCTCTTCCCCATCCTGTCTGTGCTTCCAGGTCCCTGGGGTTGTGCAGGTGAGTGCCCCTGAGGCGCAAAATAAGGAGAGGCGAAGAAATAGGCTCAGAGTGGTAGCTGTTGGTTAACAAGGAGGCTCCTGCAGAGGGAGCGGCAAGGCCCTGTGCCGCTGTCCCCGGGGGCCGGAGGGGTTGCCCAGCATGCCCACTGGCTGGAGACAGGGGACTGACCCACTTGCTCCTACCTGCTTCTGAAGGTAAAATCCTTACAAACGAGGAGCAGAGCTTCGATGGAGGAAATAAGAAAGGCAGAAAGCTTCACGTGGGAGGGCTTGGGGCAGTGATAGAGGGCTGACAAAGACAGCATAAAAAAAAAAGGCAGAATATAGACAGCCTATTTCTCTTAGGCTCACCCCATCCACCCCTACTTCACCCCCTTACCTACCACTGTTTTCAGGGTCAAAGCAATTTTAGCAAGATTTTAGGGACTGTGGGGAGATAGCTTGGATTTTCAGTAATCGGGGGAACATAAACAACCCCAAACGAACTCTGGAAAACGAATGTAGGATATTTTTATGTTCCTTGTCATTTGGCTGTCCCTTTTCTCCTTCCCCAGACAACCCTGTCTCAGTGGGGCAGCACTTCCTTCTCAGACCGCTTGTCCCAGGGTCCCTGCCTTCCCCTAGTGAAAGAAGCTCCTGCCTCCACCTGTGGGCGTTGGGAGCATCAGCAGAGATGCTCCTCACACAGGGCACCAGCTTCTGGGGTCCGTCCCGCAGACCCTGACCCACAGACAGATGAATAACGTACCCAGACACACCGATACTCAGTGGAACAGCAGCTAGGGGTCCTGGCCCCTCAGAGACACCAAGGAAGGTGCTGTAAAGAGTAGCCACCACAGCCCCAACTAGCTGGCCCTGCAGACATTTATTAGCACAGTTTTAACAGCAAAGACTTGAGTCAACACGCCTGTGGGTAATTAATCTGGTCACCCTCACCCTGGGAGAGCAATCCTGCCCGCCACTGATCAAAGATTAGTTTTAGGACCACATGAGTAAATAAGCTCTTTAGATAAAGTCCTGTATGCTCCTATGTATCTATGTCCTGAGCTTTTAAGAGAACTCAGCTGCTTTCAGCCAAGACTTTTACAAAAGCTGGGCAAACTTCTTGGCTTTCCAAGAAGGCTTATGTCTATTTCCTCTAAAATCTTTCCCACCACCCTAACTGAACTCCCACATATTTTTCTTAGAGATGGGGTTTCACCATGTTGGCCAGGATGGTCTCGATCTCCTGACTTCGTGATCTGCCTGCCTCGGCCTCCCAAAATGCACCTAAGATTCTCCCCAGTGGCCGACTGACTGCCTCTCTTCTTCCCCCTTTCTTCTGCCTCTGACAAATAGCACTTTCTGTCCTAGGCTACTAGTGCCTGGGCCACACACCAATCTATACCTCTTTTTTTTTTTTTTTTTTTCACACCAATCTATACCTCTTTTTTTTTTTTTTTTTTTCAGGTGCATTATCCTGTTTTCCCTTTTGGCATGGGTTTATGCTGAGCCTACCATGTATGGGGAGATCCTGCCCCTAACTATCCTCAGGCATACCCCAGTGAGGTAGAGAAATCTTGAGACATAGAAGTTCCTGAAGGGTATGGGATTCACCTCTACTTCACCCATCTGGACATAGAGCTATCAGAGAACTGTGCGTATGACTCAGTGCAGGTATGTTATAAGCACAAAAAGAATAGAGAGAGAAGACCAGGGCTGAGGTAGTAGAATGAGGATGTGGGAGGGAGAGCCACCTGTACTCACAGTGAACTGAAGTCAAGTCCTAGAGGCATAAATGTTCTACTCTCTCTGTCCCTTCTCTTACCTCCATACCAAAATATTACCCTTTCCTAGCTTTTTTATTGTTGCTGTTGACTCTTCTCTTAGATAATGTCAGGAGACATTGAAGAAGGGAGGCTCTGTGGACAGAGGACCAGTAACAATCCCCACTCTCCAATTGTGGAAGAGTTCCAAGTCCCATACAACAAACTCCAGGTGATCTTTAAGTCAGACTTTTCCAATGAAGAGCGTTTTACGGGGTTTGCTGCATACTATGTCGCCACAGGTAAGGCTCACCCTTCTGCATGTGCCTTATTGACCCAGCTAAAAGATTAGAAGTGAGAAATCCGCTGAGCAACATGTTGAATGAGGATTCTGTTTGTAATTCATACAAAAAGTGTTGACTTGGCCTGGGTCCCTCCATAAATCATTTTTATGAAATTCAAATGCATGATCATATCTTAGTGGTGATGATGATAATGGTAATAACACATATTACATAATACACAGTAATTTATTGAGAGCCAGTGTAAACTGGGTATGTGCCGGGGATTTTTCCTATTTTAACACAATCATCACTTTAACCCTTCAAGGTAGGTGTTATTTGCTCCATATAAAGATGAAGAAAATATAGACTAGGAAAGTTAATAACTTGCCAAGAATCACATGAGGAATGTGTAGTATTTAAACCCATTCAATATATGGCATTCAAACCTTCAAATTCTGGGTACTTCTGTATCTTTCTCCAGGTTAAAATGAAGCTAGGACATCTCATAAAGCCAAACTATTGTTTAGATTTGATAGAAGGACCAACATCATATAAAGCAATGAATGTACCGATTCCTCCCTGCAGAAGGCATCATCATGATGTTTACCTTGCAGAGCGTCATCCCTGGAGCTGAAACGCTCTGTACATGAGAAAAGTCAAGGACCTCTGACATTAAGAGCTCCCTAGGCCGGGCGTGGTGGCTCATGCCTGTAATCCCAGCACTTTGGGAGGCTGAGGCTGGTGGATTACTGGAGGCCAGGAGTTAAAGACCAGCCTCACCAATGTGGTGAAATCCTGTCTCTACTAAAAATATGAAAAATTAACCAGGCATGGTGGCGGTGCTTGTGTTCCCAGATCCTTGGGAGGTGGAGGCATGAGACTTGCTTGAACCTGGGAGGCGGAGGTTGCAGTGAGCTGAGATCACATCACTGTACTCCAGCCTGGGTGACAGAGTGAGTCTCTCTCTCTCTCTCTCTCTCTCCTCTAGTCACCATGCAACATACGTGCCCTCCACTAGCGCACTCGCAGTGACAGAGTAAGGCTATGTCACAGCCACCCACACACCAACACAACAATCACACACACACACAGAAGCACTCCAGCCTCAGGTGACCAGCAGTGAGACTATGTCAACACCACCACACACACACACACCACACACATCCACACCTACAAGAGCACTCCAGGCCTCCGGTGACAGAGTTGCAGCTATGTCACTACGACACACACACACACACACACACAACACACACACGGAGCCTCCCTTATACCTGTGTAGTGTGGGCCCAACTCTGGACCCATTATGGTCAGGAAGGAGTAAGACATAGAAATTACCGGCCCTGACATGCGATCCTTGAAGATGCTTTAAAGCACACAGGCCTTTCCACTTTTTCTTATCCTTAATGTTTTTGGGTTTTAACCCATTCTCCCTTCTTTGGTGTTTGTTCTTCGACCTCAAGCCTCTCTCTACTTTTGTATGACATAAACGAATGCACAGATTTTGGTCTCGATGCCCCTTGTAGCACTTCTGCAAACATTTCACTGGTGTGTTAGCTTCTGCTTCTGCCCCCCGGAGTATTTCTCCCATGATTACATGAAGAATCGTGTCGGAGGTGAGCTTGGTGTAAAGAGGGATATGCATGTTTCCCGGAATTGGATAGTGACTTTGCACAAGGGCTTGTTTCACCCTTCACTTGTGTTCAGGCCCAGGCCTTCATTTGGCATTTATTCCTTTTTATATTTTTAATTTACTTATTTATTTATGTATTATTTTAAAGGAATTTCGAGTTAGGTTTTGGGTACTGAGTGGTTTTTTGGATTACATGGGATGAGTTCTTTGTGGTCAATTCTGAGTTTTATGCCACCTGTTTACACGGGCAGTGTACACTAACCACCAATGTGCAGTTTTCTCGGGTTCCCGCTTCACCTCCCAATATGAGTCCACAGGGAGTCCTCTAATCATCAGTATTGCATCTATATCTTAGTTACATTATAAGCTGAGTGAAGCCACAAGAAGGGAGGGAAGATAAACTACAGGTAAAGGGTTAGTTAATTGGAGAAGAGAGATAGACTGTTTCTGTAAAGAGTCTACTGGGGGCTGTTCATAACCAGGAAAGGCTCCATCCTAAGCAGAGTGATGGAAACCTAATAGGACTTGGGTGTTCCTGCTGATATCTACTGAATGTGTAATTGCTGCATCCCTCCAGTTAGGGCGGGGATGTCAGGTTAGTTTGAATGGAGGACTATCAGTTTCTGAGAGAAGGAATCATAGAATAGTGCAGGAATTCCTTTGCTTGACACCGTATTTGATTCTCTCTTTCACTTTTTCTCTCTTAGTTAATTGCAGTGGGGATGTATTCACTGCACTGATTGGGGAGATTGCAAGTCCCAATTATCCCAAACCGTATCCAGAGAACTCAAGGTGTGAATACCAGATCCGGCTGGAGGAAGGGTTCCAAGTGGTGGTGACTGTGCGGAGAGAAGATTTTGATGTGGAACCAGCTGACTCAGAGGGAAACTGCCTTGACGGTTTAGTTGTGTGTGATGGTTGATTAATACCCCCGCCCTCAACTTACACAAAGAGATCTCTCCCTGAAGACAAAGAAAAATTTTTGAGACAGGGTCTTGCTCTTTTGCTCAAGCTGGAGTGCAGTGGTGCAAGCACGGCTCACTGTAGCCTTGACCTCTTGGACTCAAGCAAGCCTCCCACCTCAGCCTCCTGAGTAGCTAGGCCCACAGGCGTGCACCACCATACCCAGCTAACATTTTTATTGTGATTATTATTATTATTTTTTACAGAGATGGGGTTTTGCTATGTTGCTCAGGTTGGCCTGAAACTCCCGGCCTCAAGCAATGCTCCCACCTCGGCCTCCCAAAGTGCTGGGATTATAGGCGTGAGCCGCTGCACTCAGCCTGAAGATAAAATTATCTTTTCTCCTGACCCTTATTTTCCTTCTTCTTATTTTATGTGACATTTAATGCCTCTCTTATTTTTATCTCCCATCTTCCAATTTTACCTCTTTCCTTTAGTTCTTTCCCTCTTCTGATTTCATCATTTCGTTCAGTTTGTTGCAGGAGATCAGCAATTTGGTCCTTACTGCGGTCGTGGATTCCCTGGGCCACTAAATATTGAAACCAAGAGTAATGTTCTTGATATCATCTTCCAAACTGATCTAACAGGGCAAAACAACGGCTGGAAACTTCGCTACCATGGAGATCGTGAGTAACCTAGAAGTACCTCTTTGGTTGGTGATACCAAAGTCCCCAAACAATGTAGGATCAAAGCAGGTAGATGATCCAGGCACACTGGAAGCACCTGTGATCTCAGCTACCAGGGGAGGCTGAGGTAGGAGGATCCCTTGAGCCCAGGAAGTAGGAGTCTGAGTCCACTCTGGGCAATGGAGCAAAACTTTGTCTCTAAAACAAAACAAAAACAAAACAACAATAATTTAAAAAACAGATAGATTGTTGTTCTGATAGTATCCTGAGATACTTCACTTCCTCAGGAAAATCTAAACCAGTCAATGGTTGCTAGGAGTGCCTCAACCCCTAGTAATCCTTTAACTAGACCTGAGAGTGCAGACAGTTTGGGGGTGGTTAGTTGGTAATGCCATATGATTTTAGACATCTGCTGTATTGGAATGTTAAGCATCAGGAATGAGGACAACTGGATGATTTTAGAAAGTGTGAGAATGATGTAAATAGAATGAGAGTCTTCAACTATTTAGTAATTCTTTTTTCCTGTCCCAGCTTCTGTTCTTTCAAGCAATGCCCTGTCCCAAAGAAGACACTCCCACTTCTGTTTGGGAGCCTGCGAAGGCAAAATATGTGTTTAGAGATGTGGTGCGGATAACCTGTCTGGATGGGTTTGAAAGTTGTGGAGGTAAAGTACCATCTTGGCTTCTCCCCAATCCCTGGCCCCAGATCAGGATGAGCAGACTGAAATTGTCCAGTTGTTTACCAACGTAAGTGTGTGATCAAGGTATAACGCCTTTCCCATAAACACGACAGCTTAAGATCTGTAGTTCTCCCTTGTGAGTCATGGAGCTCCCTGGCCAGCTTGGCATTCTCTCTCTGCCTTCAGTCTTCTTGGGGAAGGGGAGTTGACACGTTGGGGCAGAGCTGTCTGTCAGCCTCGTCTCCTGGGTGCTTTGGGTCAGTCTGCTAAGACGTTCCCAAGCTTCTTGTGGTGAGGACTCCTCATTGATCCAAGGCCAGAGATCAATTCCAGTTTTGATTTTGGTTTCCCATATCTCTCTTCAGAAATAAGTGGTGATGTTTGTTATTCTCCAGGGACGTGTTGGTGCAACATCTTTCCATTCGACTTGTCAAAGCAATGGAAAGTGGAGTAATTCCAAACTGAAATGTCAACGTACGTGTCTCTTCAAAGTGGAAGTCTTTCTTTTTCTCTCAGAGAGAATGGAAAGATCAGCACATCCAAATTCAGATGCATGGTTTCCTCTTAGGCATG